AGATCTACCGAAGAAAGAACACGAACCACAACTTTTTTTTGTTTTGCAGGAAGAACATCCGCAGGAAAAACCACCCGCAGGAAGACCCACTCGAAGGAAGACCCACCCGAAGGAAGAACCACCCACCTTTTTTTTTTGTTTTGCAAGAAGATCCATCGAAAGAAGATCCACCTGGAGGAAGAATACCCGATGGAATAACTACCCTTTTTTGTTTTGCAGAAAAAGCACCCGCAGGAAACCGCCCGAAGAAAGCAAGTGCCTATTAAAACATAATGCCAGGCACGGGTATGGGCTCTATAGTACGTGTGCCGGCACTTGCAGAACCCTAAAAAACACCTGAAGGAAGAACCGCAGCTTTTTTTTGCTGCAGGATGAACACCCGCAAGAAAAACCACCTGCAAAAAGATCCATCGAAGGAAGATCTACCGAAGAAAGAACACGAACCACCAACTTTTTTTGTTTTGCAAGATGAACATCCGCAGGAAAAACCACCCACATTAAAAGAAGAACCACCTGAAAGAAAACCTGCAGGAAAAACCAACCACAGGAAGATCCATTGAAGAAAGAACACCCGAAGGAAGAACCACCCACTTTTTTTCGTTTTTCAGGAAGAACACCCGCAGGAAACCCATCCACAAGAAGATTTACCCGAAAGAAGATCAACTCGAAGGAAGAACACCTGAAGAATATCCACCCACCTTTTTTGTTTTGCAGGAAGAATACCCGCAGGAAAAACACCCGTAGAAAGATCCACCCGAAGGAAGAACCACCTAATTTTTTTTGTTTTGCAAGAACGCCTGCAGGAAAATCACCACAGGAAATTCCACCCGAAGGAAGATCTACCCACTTTTTTTTTTTGCAGGAAGAACACCCGCAGGAAACCACATCGAAGGAAAAACACCTGAAGGAAGAACTACCCACTTTTTTGTTTTGCAGGAATAACACCCGCAAGAAAACCACCCGCAGAAAGATCCACCCGAAAAAGAACCATTCGAAGAAAGAGCGTCCGAAAAAAGAACCACCTACTTTTTTTTTTTTTTTTTTGCAGAAAGAACACCCACAGGAAAAACCAACCGCAGGAAGATCCATCAGAGGAAGAACAGCCGAAGGAAGAACCAATCACTTTTTTTTGTTTTGCAGGAAGAACACCTGCAAAAAAACCACCCACAAGATCTACCTGAAGAAAGACCCATTCGAAGGAAGAACATCGAAGGAAGATCCACCCATTTTTTCGTTTTGCAAAAAGAACATCCGCAAGAAAAACCACCCGAAGAAAGATCCACCCGAAAAAAGAACCACTCGAAGGAAGAGCATCCGAAGGAAGAACCACCCACTTTTTTTTTTTTTTTTTTTTTTTTTTGCGGAAAGAACACCCACAGGAAAAACCAACCGCAGGAAGATCCATCGAAGGAAGAACACCCGAAGGAAGCACTTTTTTTTTGTTTTACCCGAAGGAAGATCCATCCACGTTTTTTTGTTTTGCAGGAAGAACACCCGCAGGAAAAACACCCATAGGAAGATCCACCCTCCACCCGAAAGAAGGACCATCTACTTTTTTTTGTTTTGCAAGAACACCCGCAGGAAAATCACCCGTAGGAAGATCCACTCGAAGAAAGGAAGGTCCACCCGAAGGAAGATCCGCACGAAGAAAAGCCATCCACAGTTTTTTCTTTGCAGGAAGAATACCTGAAGAAAGAAGCACCCACTTTTTTTTGCAGCAAGAACACCAACCCGAAAAGATCCATCCGCAGAAGAACCACTCGAAGGAGGCCACCACGCCAGAGAACAATAGTCGTTTTCTTCTCAACTTCTAAATCTTTTTTTTCACACCATGCTCAGGTAAGCCCCATTTATTATCATGTTCAGCAATTAATAATGATTTATTTTTACATACCGACCCGTAGGCCTTTTTTAAATTTTTATGGATTTTATAACAGATTTTGTCATAGGTTTCTCTTCATGAGCTTCGTTCCGAATTCTTTCGCTTAATTTTCTTTGGCGAGTTATAGTATGGGCTATTGCGGACTTTTTTAATTGTAAAGTTATATTTGCTAGAATATTATTTTTTTGGTGCATCTGCATTTAAGCGCACCACATCAATATCTCAAATTCTTATTAAGATAACCCCGTCTTGTAACATAACAAAAAATGTTTCTCTCGTGATTTTACCTTAGCACAAATCATAACCCTAATTCTTATTTGTATTTATTTGCTATTAGGTGCACCAAGCGCACCCGCATCAAATAGATTTATTCTATTTGCTATTAGAAATAATACACAAAATGATTTAAAACAAATTACAATTAAATACGTTTAATTCTTACCCGTAATAAATTATTTCTAAGTTTCGAGTTTTTTCGATAAAATATCATAATTCTTTTATTAGTTGACTTTTAAGTTGTAATAAAAAATGCATATAACGATTAGTTATTTCGATATCTTATGAACGGGGGACGGAACAAAACATGTAGCACCAATACTATGCATTATATTACAAGGCACCACTAAAGTTGGACCACATACACTTTTTTTCACGCTGCGTTCGGTCAGCCCACCACGTTCGTTATAGAGCTCTTCGTTTTTAAATATATAGATTTCAAGTATCCTTTAATTGCTGTCAATAAAAAGTCGCGTTGAAAGAAAGAATACACTTTTAAAAATTTACTCCTACTTGAAAAGACATGTTTTAGATTAAGAAAAAGATGGTGTGAAAATACGCGAAAAAAAAATTGTGGGAAGAAAAAGTCCTAAATAAGCTACCCCTGCGATGATCTCCTACTCAAGGCGTAGTTGAAATGGCCTGCACTATGCAGAATTATGCAGATAAAAAAAATACGGAAAAATTTGAACTACACTATGATTCGGGTTGAAAATTCAAGTTTCAAACCTTTTTACTAATTACATGGAAACCGTTTTACAAAAACTTACGCAAAATTACGCAAAATTACGCACAATTACGGTAATTTTACAACCCTAACTATAATGCCGCGCTTGTTTTTGACTGACAAATTTGATGAAAATTTCTTCTAATTCTATCACTATAAAATTAAATTATAAGTCATATGTTGACAATTGAAAACCGAACTAAATCCAAATCTAGCATGACTAATGTTGTGAACGTATTGAAGTATTAGTTATGACACACTGTAACAAAATTGCAACTTTTTCATAGTATTGACGTAACGGTAAGTCGTAACTGTAACTCTAGTAATATGTAGTATGTATCTCTTAAACTGCAGGCAAATTTGACTGCAATTTTCATAATTGATCTGTAATTAAGCTTTCAAATTATATTGGAATATAGTTCATATTGTGTATAAAAAGGATGCTTATTTTAAGAGAATTCTAAAAATACTAAAAAACCTGAATAGTGATGAAGCTAAATATTTAGAGAAACAGTTAAAATATTATAAATTGAATAAAAAAAAGCAATAATAAAATTAGAAAACCCTAGATTATGTATTCTAAGTTATAGTTGTTATTATTAAAAAATATAATATGAATAGTTATTTTAGATTTAAAAAAAAACTTTATAAGAGTATTAGATACAACTATCATTAGAAAAATAAAAATAAAGAAATTAAGAAGTATATATTTTGCTATATTGGTAATAGTTGTTAATAAAATAAAAGTTTTTTTAAGCTACTTCTGAATTGCTACAACCTTTGGAAATTTTATCACAACTATGAGAAACAATTTTAATAGATTTTATACTTAGTTGAAATTTGGATTTTTTTAATAATATAATTAGAAAAAAACTAGTAGATCTTCTTTAGTATAGGTGGGCATATATAAATTATTACAAAATTATAATATATAAAACCTAACTAATTTGAGCTAATTTAAATTCTAACCTTAACCCTAACCCTAATAAGTTATAAAATTACTTAAATTAGTTCAAAATATATAATTTATATATATTACAATTATATAATAATTATATATGCCCACCTATACTAAAGATCAACCTTAATGGAAATTTATATTGCTAGCTTAGTTTTTTTGGTTTTACTATAGATACACAAAGTATACTGATTACTATCTAGATATATTCTATAATTATTGTAACAGATTAAAATAAAATTAGATTAAACTGAAATTTTTTTAATTTTTAAGAAAATTTAAAATTTTTTAGGGATATTTTTTAAAGGTTAGGTTTAGGATTAGAGTTATTAATAAATAAGTATATATAAGTTTTATAAGTTTTCAGAATAAGCAAATGAGGTTTTTAATTTATTTTAATTTAGTTTTATTTTAATCTATAACAATTATTATATTATTATTATATAATTTTTATATTATTATTTTAGAGTTATAAATTATAATAATACAAATATAATATGGGGTATAGTAACTTAATAAAGTAGTAAAATTGTTATATTCTCAAGTAGTATGTTCAGAGTTCAAATCTTATTAGTGACAAAATTTAAATATTCTGTTATAGAACAGTTACTATTTTTTATCAATTGGTTAAATTTAGAATCTGTAATCAAGATTATATTAGATATTTAAAAAGATTATTTGATATTCTGCAATATATAAGTTATATAAAGATATACAAACTAGTATTAGTTAGTATAAACTTATAATAAGTTCTGATAACTATATAAAACCAAGAAACTAGAAAAATAGATACTTATTTGGTAAGTTTCAAGTAGAGAAGTAGCACAGATTTTTGATAATACTACTAAAATAAAATATATTTAAGGTTAGTACAACTGAATAAAGACCAAATATTTGACAAAGATATTTTACCAACTAGGCTACTAGAATATCAATCAGAAAAAAAATCTATCAAAGAACTAGTATCTCTTCTAGACTATCTGAATTGGTAGTTTAAAAGATTATAGTTAGGAATTTTGCTAAATATAGACAATATAGATCATACCTTGTATGGCAAAAAAATGTTGATTACATAATTCTAGATCATTTGGTTGTACAAAAATTATGTGTAATTGACCAATCAAATTTAACTACAACAAAATTTATTTATTA